TCAAACTGACGAATAAGAAAGACTGTTGCTTGATATGTTGGAATATGTAGTTTTTCTTTAGAGTGAAGTTCCGAGAAGTGCTGAGGTCCCACAGAACTTTGGTGAGGTACTTGAAGTCGAGGACGACAATGAAGCAGTAAGCGAATGATATATTTTAGGAATAACATGACGTACAAGCACTTGAAGCTAACAAATTGAGATTGAACTCATTTCCAAGCTGCTTCATACATATAGCATTTATAGCATCAATAGCATTTATTTTCTCTATTTTATTCATCTTCACTAATTTTTGAAGCGTGCATTAAGATTTTTAATATTCTATGCTCTGATATAGACTATATATGGTATGATTTACCTTGTAGAGGCCAGTTGATAAATTGACTTTAGTGCGATGACGATGAACCTCTTTTCAACAACGAGTTGACTGCTGAGCAGAAGTTACAGGTAATGAACTGGAAGAGAATACGAGAGAGATTTTAAATACCCTTTTTTCATCAACTTTCCTCTTCAGCTATCTGAAGGCAGATCGGCAATTGAAAGTCGTGCAACCGCTTATCATCCAGAGGTAGGTTCTTGCCCTCAAACAAACTTCTGAATTTTATTTGTTTCTATGTCTCTCCGTCGCCGAGTTATTTAAAATGAATTACCAGAAATGGATAGTCCACTATCAGCGTTTTGTCATTGTTATCAGCACGTTTGAAGCAACACTTAGACCTCAATTTTTATACGAAGAAGATGATAGTCGACTACTTGCATTAAGGATAACATGAGACAGGTGACAGGAACGTAACACAACAAAATAAGTATTAAAGGAAAAGCTCCCAACAGTTTCAAGGGGTTTCCAGAGGGTGACGGCTGGTTCAGATTCGTCATTACTCTTCGAGCAATCATAAAATTTAACTGTAAGATTATCACTACTTGGTCATGCTAACGTTTTGTATCGTTTAAAAATAAGGCATATTTTTGCAGTTCTCCTTAGCTGTGCACCTCGAAGTAGTCAAAGATATTTTGCTAACTCATAAGTAGTTAAGCGGCTAACTAGAATGCTTTCGAAGAGTCTGGAAAGAAATTTTCCGTCAGCATTACGGTTGAACTGCTCAAATGTAGTGTCGGGCAGAATTACAACTTCAGGTTTTCCACCTCTTCTGGACCATTTCGATGGGCTGATCAATAATTTTAACTAAAAAATCGTCAAACATAATCGTCAAAACATGATTTCGGGTTCTCTATTGACTATCAAGGACGAATACCAGAGGGGCGAATTTCATTTTCGACTTTGTCCCAGAAGGATCTTTTTCGCAAAAGCAATGCTTTTGAGAAAAGCGAACAGGGCGGCTAATTTTCCACTCTGTCCCAAAACGATCTTTTTCGCTGAAGAGCAGTGCTTCTGAGAAAAGCGAAGCTGAGGAGGAAATCAGTGAGTGAGGTGACCCAAGAGCGTCGCGAATACCCAAACGCCGAGCGACGTTCACGCTTACCGCGGCGAATGCTTCGCCTGAATTTGAGGAATAGCTTAGTCAAAGAGTCGGCTAACGTAATCTGACGAGAACAGGATTTATTATTGGTTTTTTGCCAAAACTAGAAGGCGCAACATTGAATCGTCTAAAAAAATCGAATTTCACTACTAAGGGATTTATTGGAAAAAGTTATTACGTCACATTTTTGCGTTGCTGTTTTGTATAAAGTTGTACGTATGAGCATCTCTTTGCATTTCCTGTAAATCATTCTCAGTTGATGAAATTCTTTACTTCTTCTTGAAGGACATTCGACAGATTACCGATACACATCACTTAATGACCCGCTATGAAAATCACAAACTGACATACCCAGCTATAATCAATGGTTTTGAGGTTTTAGGCTGCTAGCATTTTTTTTGGTTTCATAGTTGTTCCCGTGAGAAACTTAACTGCTCTACCCGTCAAACTCATAATCATAATTGTGCCCTCTTACGCTAATCCTCTGCAGCGAGAAGTCCAGGAAAATCAATAGATCAATTAATACGATCGATCTTTTGAAACGGAGCGCCTTTACATGTGCGAAAATGTTTATTTAACTAACTTAATCCAAATTCATAATT